GCCTTGGTGAATAAATACTCACCAATTTCCTTCTGTGCCCCCGTGATGAACTTATAGGCAGCCACAAGGTCGCCTCTCAACCTTCTCTTGCGGAGGCTGAATAGATCCAGTTTCTCTAGTCTCTCCTCGTAGGGCTTGGTCTCTAGGCCCTTAACCATACGAGCGGCCCTTCTCTGGACCCTCTCTAGGTTATCCGCATCCCTCTTGAAGTGCGGTGCCCAGAATTGCATGCAGTACTCCAACTGCGGTCTGACCAGCGCCCGATAGAGGGGAAGTATCACCTCTTTGGATTTATTCGTCACGCATCTGCTGATGCACGATAAAGTGCCATTAGCTTTTCTGATGGCTTCGTCACACTACCGACTCATGTTCATCTTGGAGTCCACTAGGACTCCAAGATCCCTTTCCACTTCCGTGCCACCCAGCAGGTCATTCCCTAGGCTGTAGGTGTGCTGGACATTTTTCCTCCCTAGGTGCAGCACTTTGCATTTCTCCTTGTTGAACTGCACTCTGTTGTTTTCTGCCCACTTGTCCAACCTGTCCAGGTCTGCTTACAGCTGTTCCCTGCCCTCCGGCGTGTCCACATCTCCCTATAGCTTTGTGTCATCCACAAACTTGGACAGAGTACACTTCACTCCCTCGTCCAAGTCACTGATGAAGACATTAAAGAGTATCGGTCCAAGGACCGAGCCCTGCGGGAACCCACTGCCCACACCCTTCCAGGTCGAAACCGACCCATCCACCACGACTCTCTGGGTGCGACCCTCTAGCCAATTCGCCACCCACCAGACTGTGTAGTCATCCAAGTCACAGCCTCTTAACTTGTTCACCAGTATTGGGTGGGATACCATACATGAAACAAACATGAACATACATGAAACCTTTTAAACACAAGGAAGATATTTTCTGATTTCAATGAACTCCTATTCTTTTGCCTACAAAATTCTGATTTAAAATGTCACTAAAATAATTTGTAAACAGATAAGACAGAAGGACAATAAAAAGTAAGAAGCTCTCATGCAACTGAAGAAGTGCAGCTTAATCAGGAACATTTTACTTGGTTCTGACTTGGATTCAATGAATAACCTTGTGCAAATCCCTCAAATGCTTCTTCCACCTGTAAGATGGCTATAACACGTATATAGACGGACTGAGAGAAATCAAATTGTTCAAAGTCTGCAAAACACTCTCATCAAGTACAAAGGACTACAGAAGTGCAAAGGTCATGAAACATCATCAGCTTCCGAATAAAAGCGTGTAAATAAAATACAGGATTTAAATGAACATTTTTATCTTCTTACCTAAGGAGGGACCTTCTGAATCCACAGCACTGCCAGGCTTGTGATGTGCAACCAGGAGACACTGGCTGTCTAGTAACTGCTGCTGCTGCACAAAGCAGGAGTACCAGGTTTCAATTTCCTTAAGGTGACTGGGCAGGTCCGGGTTGAAAACGATTACAACACCATGGGCGTCTTTCATCAGAGCTGGCCAGCACGATTCAAACCTCGGAAAGCAGATAAATGAAAAATGGGAAGCTGGCAAACTCAGAGCAGAGCTGCCCTTTGGCTCTTTTACATTTCAAAATATATATAGTTTATGGGGGGATTTTTTTTAACTCCTCAAAAGCAAACTTTAAAGTTTTTTCCTACAAACATTAGTAACCTTCTTCCCTACAAATATTAGTAACCTTCTTGTCAACCTGGCAAATTTCAAACTTTTCTGTCCTACACAAAGCCCCTCAGGAGAAAGGAGAGCAGAGATTTCTTCTGCCGGTCCCAATTACTATAGCAGAGGTCACTCAGATGTGAGGAGAAAGGCTGCAGGAAGGAGGGTGAGTTTTGAGGTCAGGGTTTGTGTCAGAGATGTCTTCTGCTGGACCTACCGCACTGCAGGAAAGACTCAGCCGTGTCCCAAGACCGGGCGGCTGCTGCAGCTCCCCACGGACAGT